GCGGCTCCTTTGTCCGCCGTCGGAGACAAGTTTTTTGTTTTTTTTTTTTAAATAATTTTAATAATTATTTTAATTAAGTATTTGTAAATTCAATAATCGCCACGTCAGCAAGTAAAACAAGTCATTTTGAGTTGAATTGAATGTATTTGTGTAGTTCAGTGATCCAATTATACTCTTTTTTTTTTTTTTAGTTTGATGACTCAATTGCAATGTAGTGTGCATTTGAGTGGCATATCTGACCCTGATATTCTTATATATATCAAAATTGTAAGTCCCCGTTGAATTAAGAATCAGGAATCATTGCAAGGTCAGAAAAAAATAGTTATTCATGCTCAAATTTCTTAAAGCTCTTGACATGTGTTGTGGTAATTTTATTGATATAAAAAAATATACTAAAAATTATGACCCATTTTATTTTTTAGATGAATTTGAGCATATCACTTAGAGAGTAAAAAATATAGTAGAAACTCAAATATATGTTACAACTTGTGTCGATTTACGACAGGCTGGCCGGTGGTGCTGCCCAGAATCGACATCGTTCATCGTTATCTTGTTTGTCCACATAAATACTGCTTTGTGTGCATGCAAAAAGTAGAGATTCTCTAATTAAATTCTATTTATTTATTTATTTATGGTTACTAATTAGCGATATGATGAATTATCCCATTTATACTTTTTTATTTTTTTTATTTTAAAAAAAAAAAACATCTTAAACCTGTGGGCACTCTTTCTTTCTATTTTCGTGTGGAAACGTGTGCTTGCCAACGTAGGCAACCGTCGAATCAATTTATTCCTTTTGTTTCCTACAAATGCCATGTGTTTAACATTATTAATTATTCTTTTATCTTTGCATTATCATACTATTTACAAAATTGTTCGATATTAGATTCTCGTTTTAATTTTTCTTCATCATAATATTATCTCGTATGTAATTATAATTGAATAATTCTTTTTATTTAATTAATGGGTAAATTTTATTTCTTAAAGCGGATAGATTTGCCAATTTACATGTTGTTATATATATAATGAATATAAAATGATGTATTGCCACGCCGATAAAATTAAGAGGAAAAAGTAGTAAAAATAGTCTCAATTGAGGTGACTAAGTGAGTAGAGCATAATTTTTGTATTTGAAGAGCATGAGTTTGATTTTTGTCAAATGTCAAAATCAAACTCATTGTGCATGATCTTTATAGTATAATTTACTTGTCATGTGTAATTTGTCTGAACAGAATTGTGGAGAGATCTTAATATACTTTATTGTTATTAATTTATTATTAGCTTTGATGAATAATTAATTAATTTACTACTTTTAGCCCGCACTTCAATCATTAGGGAAGGTTTTAGATCTTTAATTAATGCCAAGATAACTGAAATCTGGTACTAATTAATTAATGAATGAAAGGTGCATTATGCTAACTTACTATATATGGTACGGTGATGTTGGTAAAAATTATATATATATATATATATATTAAAAAAATGGTAAAAATTATATATATATCTTTTAGATATGTATTTAATTTATTTTACTTTAAAAAGTAAATATATGCTTATTAATTCTTATTTTAATTTTAATTTGCTTTACTTTTTTTTTTTCCGACTTGAAAAATCTAAACTTTAATTTAAAACACTCTAAAGTGTAATAGGTCAGGGTAAAGTTTAGTGAATTTTTTTTTCAAGTGGTAAGGGCAATTTGGACTAAAAAGTTTGACTCCCCTAGTCCCCTGTCTAATTAATTGGTGAGTTGGGGAACATTATTTTGAAAATCCGTGGAAATTGAATATTGGGATTGGTGATATGCCCTAATAGTGATTATGTAGCCTCTGGCAAGAAAAGATTAAGGGTGTGTTTGGTTTGTGAGTTTTGCCTATAGGAATGGGTATGAAAGTGATTGTTGTTGTTTGGTTGATAGGTTTTTATAACATTACTATATATGAGTTTCGAATACTCCATCAATTGAAAAATACATACCCAAATAAAATAAAGGTTTCATTCCTTTATTCATTCTCAAGCACTACTATTAGTAAACATTCTCATTCCACCCTACTACCAAACATGTTAAATACTTTCACCAAAATCCATTACCATTACCAAGTATTTGATACACATTTCGATTCCGATTCATATGTGCGAACCAAACACACCCTAAGTATTTATTGATATGAGGGGAAATTTTTTTTACATAAACCTATATTCATATTTCTATAGTATTTTCGATAAGTAATGTAAGAATGCCTTTCAGAGTAAGGTGGCGGGGGCGGGCATGCCAACTTACTCTAAGCCTGCTAAGTAGCGAGCCTTACAGGTCGGCTAAATAGTGAGCCTAAGAGGCCCGCTCCGCATTGACAATTCTATATAAAAGGGGTACCTTGTCTTTTTCAGACATCAACATCGTCATTAGCATAAAGATTTCCACTTGAATTATCTCGTTTGTCATCGGTCATAGACACCTTCTAACTAGCTTTTTTTGTTGGTATATCAATCTCTTAGTTGGGCTTAAAGGTTGGACCACTTGAGCTTGACGTACTTCTTTAATATTTAAATCTCATTGTAGCTAGTCTAACTACAATATATATTTCAAGAGTTTGGGCCCTTATTAATATATCATTATTCTTTGTAGCTATTTCTCATATATTAATCTCGTTTTATAATGGACTTGTCTAATAAAAATCATCAATATATATATATATATATATATATATATATATATATATAATATTTGGTAATTACAGTGATTACTAGTCAAATAGTAGAGGGTGTGACATTAGTTTTTTTTTTTGGTTAATTGCTTGAATAAACCAGTTTGTAGCCATCTAAAACAAAAAATTAAATCAATTTTTGTTTAGTAGTTATATTTATTTATTGTTGAATAAGTCATTTATTGTTCCTACTAATATGTAACTTCTTCGTAGACGGTCTCTGATGTATCTCTATATATTCTGTTCATCTCAATAAAGATTCATCATTCTAGTCATAATTCCATGTGGTATCAGACAAATTATATAAATCTAGACTCACATTTCTATAGTATCCTCGACAAACTAAGTAGTGGATAAATGCCTTTCAGAGTAAGGTGACAGCTAAGCAGGCCAACTTACTCTACGCGCTGGTCGTAATAGATCGACTTTCATGCTAGTTCTTGCTCCAGCATGAAAGTTCCATTTCAGGGAAGGACGACGTACTATGCTTAGTCGCAAGCCTCAAAGGCCCGCTCCGCATTGACAACTCTATATAAAAGGGGTGCATGCCTTGTCCTTTCGAGACATCAAGATTTCCAATTGAATTATCTCGTTTATCAACGATCGTAGTCTCGTAGACAACTTCCAACTAGCTTTTGTATTTGTCTATCAATTCCTTAGTTGGACTTAAAGGTTGGACCACTTGAACCTAACATATTTCTTTAATAAATCTCACTATAGCCTAACTACAATATTTCAAGAATTTGAACCCTTATTAATATATCATTATTCTTTGTAACTATTTCTCATATATTGACTTGGTTTTATAATTAATGAACTGATCTATTAAAAATTATCAATATATATATATATATATATATATATATATATATATATATATAAAAATTAAATTAAATAACATGTGCTTAATTTTATGAATACCTTTAAAAATTATATTATATTCTAATATATTGTGAAAATAATTAATAATATTCTTATAATGTTTGTCATTTTCCATTTTGTTGTGAGTGAATTAGATGCGAATGTGTGTGTTGGAAGCAAAAAAATTAAATTCCCATATGGATATATCCAACAAATTAAAGCAGATTCTGGCCTCTTGGATACACAATAGGACCACCTTATTATATCAATACTGGCCTACAATAATATCCCTTACTTTCTTCATGCACCAATTAATAATTGCCCAATAATATAAAACAGTATTTTCTCCCCTGGATGTTCACCTCTTGACATAATAGTAATAAAAAACTATTTTTAGAAACATGCTGATCGAGTTAATAATATTGATTGCGAGTTTCATTCATTACTCAAAAATAAAATTCTGTTTTTTTCATTGGTGAAGTTAATGTAACTACCCTGCTTTAAAAAATAGAATTTACTTAATAATTATTATGTAAGTATAAAAAGAATCAATCACTTATTACCAAGATTAGGAGGAAATACAACATCTCTTATTATCTAATTGACAAATGTATATATATATATTTTGGATGTAAATCATGTAATCCAAGGTATTCATCGGATGGATAAGTCCTTCCCCTCAATCATGATGTATATTGGGTAAGACTCAATCATATCCCCAAGTTAATTAACAAATACTTGTACATTACATATAAGAGCAACATTAATGGCTATATGCTCAACACGCCCCCTCACGTGTGTGGTGGGTTCCAAGGAACACGTGGACTGTAGTCGCTTATGGTTGGCGCTGAAATTTGAACCCATGACCTTTGGTCTAGCTCTGTTATCAAATTGAAGCATGTGCTCCATCTCAACTAATTAAAAGCCTAAGCTGATAGTTAGATTGCACATTAATGGCTAGATGCTCAACACTACACAACATAGGTAAAATCGTACTAAATTAAAGACTTTAAATGAACACTTAAACGTAATGTCGTCAAATCACAAAATACTTAAGTTAAAATTAATTTTATAAGCATGACTTTGATGGAGTCAATCCAGATTAACTTTAAAATGATAAATATATTGAACACAAATAAATTAAAACGTATCGTACCATATATGCATATATCCACACGTCCATTCTCGATCCACTTCATCCGTATGCAGTGATTCGTTATCGTGATGAAAAAAAAATGCTGTATTTGTGGCTGCATGTATCAATCGCTGTCAATTAATCATCTTTAATTCCTAAATATAAAAATCTCGTCCGTACAAAATGCAGATTCTTAATTAGTTAATTATTGCTATATATAATTTATGCATTTTTTTTTCCACCTGCGAATCCCCAGATCAAGCTATAAATATCCCTCATTCCCACCCATTTTTGACCCACACCAAAACTCCATTCTCACAAACACCATAAACAACATTATATTGACTCTTATATAATTCTGTCCCGGCCTGTCTGGAAAGGTTATATTATTTTCATTAATAGATCCGAAAGTTTAAGGTTTTTGGAGTAGTAAGAAATGGATAGAGTGAGCAGAATGGCGGCGGAAAGGCCGGTGGTGATGTTTAGCAAGAGTTCTTGCTGCATGAGCCACACCATTAGGTCACTGTTAAACGACATGGGGGTTAACCCGGCGGTGTACGAGCTGGACGTGATTCCTCGCGGCCGGGAAATCGAGCAGGCGCTGTCCAGGCTGGGGTGCAACCCCACCGTGCCGGCGGTGTTCATCGGCGGCGAGCTCGTCGGCGGGGAGAACGAGATCATGACCCTTCATCTCCAGCAGGCGTTGAAGCCCAAGCTTAAGAGGGCGGGAGCCTTGTGGGTTTAATTAATTAATTAACGTTAATTAATTAAGTTAACCCCGACATGAAACCTAGTTAATTATATTATAGTTAATTAGACGCGAATAATAATGATATGATGATGCAATAAATAATGCATGGCATGTCTGAATAATGCTATATTGTACGTGAACTTCATATATTCTGCAGCTTCAATTCTTTTTGTATTGCAAGCTGTTGAATCTATATATCTTACCCATTTTGCTACCAATAAAGGCAATAATAAATTTCACTTTATTATGATATATATGTTGTGATCGACATGAACAGTCTAGATTAGTTTTCCTATTTATGGTCTAGGCGGTCAGGTGGGGTTTACTAACTAATATAATATAATGTCTTTTGGTATGATTGAACAAACAAATTTTATAAGGGTGTATATTATATATATATATATATATATATATATATATATATATGAAGTTGGTGAACATCATGTTAGCATATTTGGAAATTTCGTATATATCCTCAACCACAATACATGGTTGTAATATTCTCCATACTATTAGCATTTTATTTTTAGTACGAAGAAAATCTTTGTAAATATCTTATGTATTGTGATTGATGTATACTTCATTCATATATGTAGGAATATAATCTTGTGAACCATATTAATTACATAATACGGAGTACTATTAAATATTAACAAATTGTAGTATCGAACTTAATAATATATATGTATCGTATATCGAGATTGCATAAACGTACTTGATTAAAAAAAAAAAAAGAAAAAACTTTCCACCGCCCATTTATATCCCTAATAGGATATATTTATTTCATAATATAATAACTTCATGTATGTTCTACAACACTATAAAAGTTTTCTTAATTTTCGCAAAAACAAGCGGGGCATCATTATGTATACATAAAAGTAATTGATGATTAATCGTGTACTATGTGTATATATATCATGCATACATAAAATGATGTATATATATGAATTTCTTGACAAACTTTATCTACTTATAGAAATTAGAGGCAACCATCTCCAAGGCCTCAGGCCTACGCCTATCCCATATCCCATAATTCGTATGTGTGTGTGTGTTTTGATCCCATTAATTTGGAGGAAAAAAAAAAATATTCCCCTTTTTGTTTCTTCACGTGAAGTGGTGCCTATATTTCATTCTGTTAATCCAGATATTATGTCAACATCACGTCCCATGCATAGTGATTGTAAAGATAGAAAGTATGAGGATAACATTTTGTATTTGATTTGATTTGGAGGCCAATTCCAAATCAATTCAAATTAATATTTTTTATAACTTTTTTTTTTGATTAATTTAGTCGGATATTTTAGACCTACTGAACCTGCCCACATGCCCATATATATGGAGATAATCGAGTTGTTTACTAACCCATTGAGTCACCGTGATTTACATCATCCCACATGTTTTATCGGGTCGGAGTGTGGGGCCCTTAAGGTTGGGAATTCAGTCTTGGGATAAGGAGGTAATCAAGTCCATCTAGTTTCGAGACTCAACACTAAATTGTATACTTATGCTTTCAAAAAGAATCCAACCCAAAATCAAACTCCCAATAGTTGTCAAACCCACAATTGGGAGCAAGTCTCAAGTGAGACTTATTAAATTAACTAGTTGCGGGCACGCGCTTTGCGCGAAACGTCATGCCCAATAATCAATTAGTATGTTCTAATTTTTTATTTTTTATTTCAAGATGAGTATGTTCTAATTTTTAAATAATAATATATATAATTTTTAATAATTGTTATATGACAAAATAAATAAGAATACATAAATAAGTTATTTAGATACCAACATGATATACAAGAATTGAATTAGGAACATGCGGGAGGATATTAGATTTGGTTTTGAGGAAGAGAACGGAGATGTTAGCTAGAATAATGTAGTAGTTTTCTATAAAAAAAATGTAAAAAAAAAAAAAAAAAAGAATGGAGTGTTGGAATGATGGAGAAAAAATAAGACAAAGATCACATCATAGCAAAGAGGAAGAAGACAAAAAATAATGGTAAAGTTGTTATTTCTTTAAAAATTGAGGGCAATTAAAATGAAAAATAAATCAAAAATTAGATAAAAAAATTCCATCAATTAGATTTGAAATCAATGGTAAGCAAGGGTGCCATTTTTGAGGGGCAAATGACAACTCTCAAATATAAGTATAGGGGAGATAATTTCATTAACTCAAAACAAAACGCAATTACTTCAACGATTTCATCTATATTTCATGTGACGAGGGAGACTCACAATGCTCCTATTTAACAACTTGCAAATCACACTAGGTAAATCATAAAAATAAAGCTAATGTACATAAAATTACATAACGAGCTGAGTGTATCATGTTTTATAATGTCATCTTGTATCATATTCATTATATTTGTTTTATTGATCATAAACTTAGACTTTAATATTGTAAATATTAAACTGCATCTAAATCACATATATGTCCATTAACTCTATACTCTATACTAGATTCATAATGTTCATAAAAATAAAACTTAACATACATAAATATACTCAAGATTTATTTTTTTTTTAAAAAGTTTAAAACCATATATCAATATAGATGTCCATTTAAAAGGTATTAATTAACGTTTTCTAATAATATAATATTCAACAATTATATCGTGGATGGTCTACAAAGCTTTGTGGACCATGATCCAAAAACTGCGTCGTTTCTTTAAGTACCAAAACGGTTGCTGTTACAGTTTAACGAAGCCCGTATTTTTAGTGTGTTCATTACTAAATGAAATTATAGTGTATCTAAAATGAAACTGCTTCACATATTATTTTTATATTATCAAATGAAACTGTAATTGAATTAAAATGAAACTGTAGTTGTGTTGAAATGAAACTGCAATGTATCTAAAATGAAACTGGATAATAGTTTCACATATTTGAATGTATATTGTCCAGTGAAACTATAGTTATATCGAAATGATACTGTAGTTGTGTTGTAATGAAACTATACTGTATATAAAATGAAACTGAATAACAGTTTCACATGTTTGAGTGTATAACGTCGAATGAAACTATAGTTATATCGAAATGAAACTGTAGCCGTGTTGAAATGAAACTACAGTATATATAAAATGAAACTGAATATGTTATACAAACACATTTATTTTTTGCTGAACTGAATAAAACGGGTACCATTTATTTTTATTAAAAGAAACTGCATCGTTTTGATGCCTGGACTATAATATTTGTATGGGCTTTTAGATGCCACATTGATAATAATACCAATCGTTATGCCTTGGACCCGTGTCCAGCATGCTTGCTGGACACGGGTAACAGTGCCGTTAGGCACTGTTATCTTCTTCTTCTTCTTCTTCTTCTTTTTTTTTTTTTTTTTTTTTTTTTTTTTTTTTTTTAAATTTCAGATCACTTTGTTATAGAAGTATATGTTCATAATTTTATTACTATATGTTAATAACTATACATTCATAACTCCATAACTGTACGTTCATAACTCTATAACTGTACATTCATAACTCTATAACTGTACATTCATAACTTCATAACTGTACATTCATAACTCCATAATTGTACATTCATAATTTTCGAAGCTCCATGTTCACAATTTTAGAGCTCTATGTTCATAATTTTATCACTATATGTTCATAATTGTAAGTTCATAATGTTAGAGCTCTTTGTTCATAATTCGATCAATAACTGTACATTCATAATTCCATAACTGTAGATTCATAATCTCATAACTGTAGATTCATAACTCCATAACTGTAGATTCATAACTCTATAACTGTACATTCATAATCTTCGAAGTTCTATATTCACAATTTTAAAGCTCCATGGTCATAATTTTATCACTATATATGTTCATAATTGTAAGTTCATAATGTTAGAGCTCTGTGTCATAATTTCATAATTGCATAACTGTACATTCATAATGGCATAACTGTACATTCATAATCAAAAAAAAAAATAACGCCGTTAACGGCAAAACACGCGCGATTTTTTTTTTTATAACTAAATGACGCGTTTTTATTAAAAAACGACGTCGTTTTGAGCCCGTGTCTACAATTCAATATGGACACGGGTCCAATGCATAATTTGCCTAATAATACGGAGTAATTTTTTTTTCGAAAAGTCCTTTGTACAGATATATGCAATTTTCATATTAAAAAATTGGGCGGGGTTTCGGTTTTATGGGCTCCTACAGGCCCAGCCCAAAGTCAAAGAAGATCTTTTTTCTTTTCTCTCTGACACATAAAAGGACAAAAAGGGAAAGAGATCCGAATCTTTTACACCCACAAGTTCCAAGAAAATGTGGTCCCACCTGGCCCATTTTTCCGCACGCAGTAAATGCAAAGCTCCTTTCAGCGTCACCGACCCGAAACCAAGTATCCAACGGTCGTCCCTCTTCCGGCGCATTTTAGAACATTTACGCATTCCCTGCGCAGTCCACGCTGTCCGTAACAAAGACTAACGAACAAAACCGCGCTAACATACGCTCTTCCGTTTCTCTGTCACTCTGACACCCCCCTCCCCCGGCCCCTCCTTCACGGCTCAGTCACTCGCAACAACTCACCTATACTTACAGAGAGTCACATCTATCCTTCCCTCGTGTATATGCAGGAGTACATATAGATACAAATATTCTGTGTGTATATATGCGCCAACAAAAAATCCAAAATAAAGTCTAAGTTGGAGTCTATTGCGTGTGTCATTGTCGATATGGATGGTTGAAGCTCTCGGCTAGTCGGCAGTAGGTCTTCTTCTTCTTCAATGTCTGTGAAACCCTAACTGGCTAACTGTATTGTTCTTTTGAGGTAAATGCACATCTCATTTAAGTGAGTTTATTGGCTTTTCTATTTTGTTTTTGTTTTTTGTTTTTGTTCTTTTTTTCCTGTTTTTTTTTTTTTTTTTTTTTTTTTTTTTTGGTTTGGTTTTGCAAATGAAAATGAGTTTGTTATTGATATTTTCTGCTTGATAATTTTTTTTATTTTTTTATTTTTGGAATTTTGTAAAGATAATGTTATTTGTTTTTGGTGTGTGGGTGAAGGTTTCAGGTTTGAGAGTATATTAGCTGTGTGAAATATGGGGGTTAACAACATGTTTGGCTTTTCAAGAAGGCGCATGAAGCTTGGGAGGTAATTTTATACTACTCCACACCAGTATATGGATAATGATTATGTGTGTACGCAAGTGACAAGTGTAAGGCTTAAAATAGTCATTCATATAATCAATGTGAATTAACTATGTGCTTGTAAGGCACTATGAAGTCTTGTTCTTATTTTTTTCAGAACATAGTTTGGATTTGATGTGGATGACTTTAGATAGTCAACATTGCACTGGAATGAAATATCGACCTGATAAACATATTTGGAGTTTTCTGATCATCTAGTTTGATGCCCCTAAAGGAATTAGTAGAAGTCCAATTATCAGACTTTAGCATTTGAACCCTTTGAGCTCGAGTTTCAGAAAAGATGCTCTTTGGGGCCAAACTCACTATATTTGTAGAATAATGCTGCAAAGATAGTAACTAGAACAAAGAAAAAGGAAGAGGACTAAAGAGTAAAGACTTTGTCTGACATTGATTGGCAGCTACTGATACAGGATTTTGTGTAGTTGGTTTCTAATTATTTGAAAATTGCTTTGTTACTCTAATCATTGGCTTACCAAGTTCAAGATTTTCATGTATGCTGTAACAATTATTAGTCATTTATTTAAAAAAAAAAAAAAACATACAGAGGATGATCTATTACATGCAGTAACTTTTGTGTGTTCTTTGGTGTCTCACATTGAAAACTTTAAGTGAACCCTTAACCTGATCGAGAGTGACAGCATGCTCAAAATTTTACAAGCTAGCAACTTTTCTCTGAACCTGACTCCATATAATTTAGGAACAGCACTTGCTGGTTTGGCATGTCAACTCCGACTGTTTACTTAAAAGATTTATTCACCAGTTCTTCATATGTTTCTTGTTAATGATACTATTGCTTATTACGGAGTATTTTTCTTAAAAATATTTTCCTAATATGTTATATCCTGCATCCAGTAGTTTAATTGACAGTACTTCAAATTTGCTGAATGGAATAAAGAAACTCAGAAATATGCTTTATAATTTATATTTTCTCATATCCCTCTATCTCCCACCAGATTAAAAGTTCAACTTTCAGACACTGCTCAGGGAACTAAAAGTCCAATCAGGCACCCAAAACGTTTTAGCAGTTCAACTGTAAGAAATGTCCCTTCCTTTTACTTTGTATAACTCATGGAAAAACAAACATGTAAATCAATCTCTTCACATATGACAGGGTGAAGCTGTTGGCAATAGCATAAACGATTCTGAAGAAAGCAGCTGCCAACATTCTACTGGTGCATCAGAGTTTAACAATTGTACTTCAGGAAGCTCTGAAAATTGGATGGTCCTTTCTATTGCTGGGGATAAACCTATACCTCGCTTCAATGTAGTTTGCATTAAGTATTTTTAGTTCAATTTTATGGATATTCTATGTAAAGCAAAAGTCAAAGTTTTATTTTTCCTGAATAGCATTCTGCAGCTGTTGTTGGGAACAAGATGGTAGTAGTTGGAGGTGAGTCTGGGAGTGGACTATTAGAAGATGTGCAGGTAAATGATGACTAGCTTTTAGTGTTCTTGTAAATCAACATTTTCATTGTAATAGAATCATTTGTTGCATCTCTTTCCTGGTAAATCAGAAGATTTCATTTATTGATTGATTTTCTTGGATTCATTTTCCAGGTGCTGAATTTTGATAGATTTTCCTGGACTTCAGTATCATCAAAGCTTTACCTTTCACCAACCAGTCTCCCCTTAAAAATCCCAGCTTGCAAGGGCCATTCTCTGGTATATATCCGTATCCATGCACATGCATAGATATGCATGTGTCCTTCTGTACTAAACTAAACAGAACTTATATCCTTTTATGAGCAATAAAATATACAAGAACAAATTGTGTTATTACCATCTTAACTCCTTTACATTATTTAGTTTCTTTATACAATATTTATGCTTGAATATCACCATGTCATTCTTATCATGCTTGTTGGAAAAATCAATTTTTTTTTTCTTCAATAAAATCAAACTCTCTACTGTCCCAGGTTTCTTGGGGGAAGAAAGTGCTTCTGGTTGGAGGGAAAACTGATCCTGCAAGTGATAAAGTTTCAGGTTTATATTCTCCTATGCCAGGTTTATAACTGTGCCCTACCACAATAATATATATCTGAATTTTTTGCTTTTGTAGTGTGGGCATTTGACACTGAAACAGAATGCTGGTCTCTCATGGAAGCTAAGGGTGATGTCCCAGTAAGTTTCCTTTTCCTTTAGATAATTTTTGAAAGGAAGTTTGTTGTGCTTAACAGGTTCTTTTTCTTCTAAAATGGAGCTCTGGGACTTCATTTAACTCATCTTATTGTTGTTTATCTACATTTGTTATTATTTCCTTCTTTTGTCCATTTCATAATGATACATTTCTTACCTCTGTATCTTTGTGCATGTGCTTTATTTTGCAACCTTTGTTTTTGCTTCGGACATGTTTAGATTTGTAACCAGTAGGCAAAAAGATAGATTTAGGAATTTTTGGATGTTTTTTCCATCATGTAACCATATCTGCATTATTCTTCTGTTTAAAGCAATCCCTCCTTCATGTTTTCTTTCAGCACCAAATTGACTGTGGGTTTTATTGTATCAGCCACTATCCCATGCTTCATTATTTCCAAAAGTCATCAGACTTATTACAACTTGTACAATTGGCAGGTTGCCCGTAGTGGTCATACGGTGGTTAGAGCAAGTTCAGTTCTGATATTGTTTGGGGGTGAAGATAGTAAGAAGAGGAAACTGAACGATCTACATATGTTTGATCTAAAATCTTTAACATGGCTACCACTCCATTGCACGTGAGTTGCACAAGTGAACTTTATTTACTTTCTCAGTACTGATGTATGATGGCTCATGCCTCTTGTGTGAGACCTGGGGCAGTGGACAGTTTTAGTTCAATTTTTTTACTTTTGATTGTTTGGTGCATCCTTACAGGGGTCCAGGTCCATCAGCAAGATCTAATCACATTGCTACTCTTTATGATGATAAACTGCTCTTGATTTTCGGTGGAACATCAAAATCTAGAACACTGAATGACTTGCACTCACTTGATTTTGAGACGGTTGGTGGATCTTGTTTCTAAGTGACCTTTTGCAGACTCCATGAGTTTTCAATACCCAACAATTTAGTAGGATGCCCTAATGCTGGTTTTCTTTCTATAGATGGTGTGGTCAAGATTTAAAATACGTGGGTTTCATCCCTCACCTAGAGCTGGTTGTTGTGGAGTTCTCTGTGGAACTAAATGGTATATTGCAGGAGGTGGTAGCAGGAAAAAGCGTATGTATCACTTGCAAAGAATTATGTCACTATCAACTGCCTTAAGCTATAGTAATTGCAAGTTGAAACTATTTAATCTCAAAATTTTGTTTGCATCCTTTCAGGACATGCAGAGACTTTGATATTTGATGTTCTAAAACTTGAATGGTCTGTTGCTGTTGTATCACCTCCATCTTCTATTATTACTAACAAGGTAATGTTGGTCTTTTGTATTCATTACTGTATAATCATAGGGTGGGCAGTCAAAAGATAATGGATGCTTGTTTGAATTATACAGGGGTTCAGCCTAGTACTGGTGCAGCACAAGGAAAGGGATTTCCTTGTAGCCTTTGGTGGTTCTAGGAAGGATCCTTCGGATCAGGTGAATCATAATTGTAACTTTTGTTCTCTCCCCAAGTCTAATCAGCCAGACTATGCATATGAGAATGGGAATGGCCATGTGCTCACTCTTTTTGACCTTTGTTTTAAAGGTTGAAGTGCTCATGATTGAAAATTCTTCATCGGGTCGGAGATCAACCTTGAGTAAAGGAGCTGGAAATTTGCTATCTGGAAACCGTCTTTCATCCATTGTGTCAGCTGCTCAGCCATGCAATGTTGCTAAAAACAATATTGATTCAGCTTCAAAACAGAAGTTGTCATCTGCAGTTGAACATGGCTCTGGTAGAAAGTCATTGTCTGAGTCTTTACTTAGTGATCCAAATTCTGTTACCGGTAATGTCTCACTTCGCAAGCAGTTTTACAATGAGGAAGAAACCAGCTTGAAGATGCCAAAGAGCTCAGATGATGAAAGTTCTTCACAGGTAAAAAGCAGCAGTGACTAAGTTTATGGTTGCTTTGAACTTCTATTTCCATTATTTCTTAAAGTAGAGATGCATGTTATTGAGTACTTGTAAAGAAATTGCAGTTTTTATGATATGGTTATAAAAGTTACTTAAGAAATTTATGTGAATTTCAAACACACATATTGGTGTGCTCTTATCAGTAAGATTTGTGTTACAGGTAATGGAGCGTGGAACAAGACAACTTGATTCTGGACTTGAACATATTGACAGCAAAACCATTCCTGAAGAAATTTGCACAATACCTGAATCTGGAAACATGGCAACTCACAAAAAGCAAGGGAGTGGAAACTTTCCACTAGATAGTGATGATTTCGTCTTTCAAGAGAGCGATTGCAAATTTGGAATATCAGCTCCGATAGGTCTGTATCAATCCTATGAAGCAAAACTTACTGCTCTGCTGAGGAAGAATGGACTACTTGAAGGACAGTTGGCAGCAGCATTGGCTAGTCGTGAAGCAGCAGATAAGAGTCTGTCTTCTGCTCTTAAGAGTAAGCAGGATACCGAGAAAAAGCTGGCAGATGCTATGAAGGAGATAGACTTGCTTAAAGAGAAGCTAGCTGGTGTAGAATTGGCACAGGAAGAGGCTAACAGCTTATCCAATATTGTCCACTCTGATAATGTTCGGCTGGAGCATGATGTGGCATTTCTCAAGGCAGTTTTAGATGATACACAAAAGGTACCACGTAAATCTCTTTCCCTTTAGCACTTTAGCTGCTTCCTGACTTCTAGAAACTATAAATATATTGATTGATTATAATTTGTAGGAGCTGCATTCGACTAGGGGACTTCTTGGCGGAGAAAGGGCCAGAGCTTTCCAACTACAGGTATAAATAACAAGCCAAGAATCGAAACCTCTACTTGATGACACCATTTCTCTCAATAAACTATCTCGATTCATACCATGACTTCCTAAATTGCCTCGATTGGTCAAGTTTCAAAACCATCCAAGTCAGGTCTCTTAGTCACTTTCTTTGTGTTATATTCTAGTTTATATCATATACATGACTTAAACACGACGATTGCTATAAATGATAGGTTAAGATACAACACATTACTGCAACTACTGATCACTATAAATGTTGGGGTGCATCAAGATGGTTAGACTAGGACCCTGATTTTCATCCATGGTCGTTTTTCTATGGTTGTTGATGATGTGTTTGAGGACTGGCATGATCTTATTAGCGTGAAACTTCATCAATGCTCTGTATTGAATGCAGGTTGAAGTTTTCCATCTAAAACAAAGATTGCAGTCCCTGGAGAATCGAGCTCCAACGCCCCGGAAACCTTTCCACGTCTAGTCTAGTATATTAAGCCTACTTGTATTTTGTATATTAGTGTATGTTATGTATAATGGTTTCAGATATCTTTCCCATTTGTAATTGAATGATATTTTTATAGCATCATGCGATTGTCGGTTGCAAATCGTCTCATCACTGCCAGTTTTTATCTTAAATCTTGTCTCACCAAGGCATCTTAGTTGGCCCTCCAAATCTTTTGCTCTTCATTATGAAAATCAGTTTCCTTTAACTTCAACAGGAAAACCCCCTCCAGTGATTATTGGTTAATATCAACAAATCTCAATTACATGATAAATGATGGCAAAAACACAGCAATGAGAGTGACTACAACTATCTCACCATGATTAATGAAACTTGTATTTACATTAAAGTATTATATATTTTCTTGTTTTAGTATCATGAATTTTTCACGTGACATTATATTATTATTATTATGTTAGTGTGTTTTTCAATGTGATATATGTAATTGAGTAGTCACAAAATACAGGCATGGTGCAACTTGGCACCATCCACTACAGAAAGGCTCAGCCCTCAGCAAATTGGAATTGGGTAGAGGACCACATGCAAAGCCAAATGAGAATGCAAGTGCATATAAGCAATTGCAGGCTTTGACACAAGGCACATGATTAGTAAAAGCCAATGAATATGGTCAGCAATTCTGAAAACTCCCCCACACAAAACAAACACAACCCCACTTCCTCCTAAACACACAAAATCCTCTTCTAAGAAGAGCTATAAATTAAAATTATTTACATAACTAGTAATGTTTTTGGGAGACAGAAAACCTGCAATCACCACCCGAGGGTTTGCATTGGGTAAATTCCGCCTTGTGACCCTAGCCGAAAAATGATCACAATTAAGTAAACCAGTCTTAGTTGATCGGTTTAAACCAAGAAAGTTAAAAGCCAACCAACAATTGCCTCTCCCATATACATAAATATATAGAGAGAGCCCGCATGGGCAACTCAGTTGGTCACATGGGTGAAGTTTGGGAACAATGACTCAGGATCGAATTTCACCAGCAGCAGTGTGAGACCAACATCTCAACATGAGCTCCTTGTGCTCAGTAAGCAAAGAATCTTCACAGATGCTCTGTCAGGCCGGATTAGAGATTCAACCTTTTTGGGAACAATATATATATATATATATATATATATATATATATATATATATATATAGAGAGAGAGAGAGAGAGAGAGAGAGAGAGAAGCAATGAGCAATGTGAATGGCACAGTGAATGCTGATGATAATCTGGTATAAAGTGGGACAGGTGAAGCAGATACATACAAGAAATGCTTACCAACTCTTTCACTGACATGCTCCTTTGCAATTTTCACATCTAAACAAAACATCAACAGTACATTTCCACCAATTCCATACCTTTTTGCACTCTCTACCCCCAAACACAAAACACAACAAGACAACAACAAGGGCAAGGAATAATCTCACACCCCTAATCCTCCCTGCCCTCATCTAAATCTAGTCATAATAATAATTACCCATTACACTTCTCAACTATATTCTGTGGGATATAGCACCTCTTGATGCAGGTAAATTTCAACAACTCTAGCTAATTAATTAATTGGATTCAGTCTTTTAATGTAGTTTGGTCCAGACTTTAGCCTAATCTTAGATTCTAATTTAACCAAACAGTAAAAAAATTCCAGGTCTGATGTGCTCAGCTGTCATGGGGCTCACACAAGGGGGGAGTCTCAATCAAAGGAAAAGAAATGGTAAACCCCATTCTTTTCTTTCCAGGTCATATGACAAAAAAGCAGGCAAAAGGGCAGATACAGTCATTACAAACAAAAGACCAAGAAATGATAGACTGATAACCCACTTACTTTTTTCCTTTTGATCTCTCTCAATAATTATGTCTGTCCAGTAAAAGTCTGTTTTCCCAGTGTCTACATCCTAGTAAAAATCAAAACTTTTACAACAGTTGATATGGATGTTTGATTTCCCCCCCACCCCAACCCCTCCCTTCACATAAAGTTTTAATCTTTGCTGTACTTAAGCTCAATTGGTTCGACCAATCACCCTAAAGTTTTGCTTCAATGGCATTGTGAAAGTTTGATTCTCATTGGGAACCTTAATCAATCAGAGGTTAGGGGTTCTGGATAAAAAATATATATATTAATTCCCCATTGTGCTTTTTAGAATTTCTGAATTAACCCCCAACAGAAGTTCTCAAACCAAATTGATTACAGTGAAAAAGGATCAAATTTTGATATTGATATGGTCAGCAGGGAGTAGAATGATGAATAATCACAAACTTTATAATAATTGTGTTTCTTGACAGTCATTATTTCTCACCTGATAGATACTCTTGCTATGTAGCATGAACAATCCTCAGTGTCCATGTTTGTTCTTTGCTGCTTCTTCAATCTCCACTGCCTGCCTGAGCCTAGGAATCTGAACTACTTATATTTGTGTACATACATACACACTGGTATGTATGTATATATATGTTTTTGGGGGATGAAAAACAGGTGTGTTTATGACATTAGATTAAGGGCTTTTTTTTTCCACTTGTCTGTTTGTCCTTAAGAAAGATCCTTGAAGAATTTGGATTTATCAATGTTTATGAAAAGGCAGAGAGGGATGAGTTGTCATATGGAAGAGTTTTGGCAGCATTGCATATTAACCCTAGTTTTCTGTTCCCCAAGCAGATGCTTGAGATCATCCAGCTTCCAATGAAACAATATTACCTCACAACCAGCCATATTGTACCTGGGAATCTTCAATCCAAAGGGCCACTAACCAACATTGTCCTCCTGTTCCTGTCTCAAACAAAGCATATGAAGCATGTAAGCCTTCCACTGGGAAAAAAGTTAATGTGGGCAGCAATCTCTTCATTCTCCAAAGATCAATGCTTCTAACTTCTAAGGTGAGTTGATGGTGGGAGAGATGATTTCCAGTACAGCAAGTTCATTTGCAGCCATTGCAGGGGGGATTGGAGGGGCATTGGTACTAATGGGGGTCATAATCTTGGTCTGTTTTTGTATGTTTCACTATAAGAGGTATTCCAACAGGAATTCAGACACAGCTTCCTCAGATCCATCTGCACCAGGTATACCATAATCCTGTTTTGTTGTTTTTTGTTTTTGTTTTTGTTTTGGTTTCTTCTAATTTGAGCATTATAGTGGAACAGAAAACAGGAGGACCTGTCTCGTCCCTGGCTCTGGCTCGAGGGGGCGTTCCCGAGGGGGCGAGGGTGTTTAGAATGCAGGAACTGGAACAAGCCACCAAGAATTTTGATGAGAGTAATCTGATTGGGTGTGGGAGCTTTGGTCTCGTGTTTAAAGGCTTCCTCTTTGATGGAACCATTGTGGCCATCAAAACACGTTCGGCTCCTCCTAGGCAACAATTCAGTGAAGAGGTATAAACTCACATTTCTGAGATGATCAAAGGCCTAACATCTTAGTATTTGGATCAAGAAATATGTGACGCCCGGTTTTATTTGACTTTGATGATGTCTAGGTGGCTCGTTTGTCGATGACACAACACCGCAACCTAGTCAATCTCCTAGGCTACTGCCAGGAGAATGGATACCAAATCCTGGTTCTTGAATATTTGCCAAATGGAACAATGTGTAATCACTTGTATGGTAGGACTCATTACTGGCAATTGGATTCTTTAATCCGCGTGTTATGTTGTTATCTCGGATTGATCATTGAACTTGGCAGGGATGGGAAGGGATTCCTCAACAAAGCTGGAATTCAAGCAAAGGCTCTCCATTGCTTCTGGGACTGCTAAAGGCATGAATGAATGAATGATCTAACATAACAACTGACTTTTGTTTTACCAAGGATCAAGAAACATAGGACTTATAATGTTTTTGGTGTTGTTTATTGGCACAGGTTTGTGCCATTTGCATGGGCAGTGCCCCCCAGTTGTTCATGGAAACTTCAAGACAGGCAATGTGTTGGTTGATGAGAACTTCATTCCTAAAGTTGCAGATGCTGGGATTTCAAGTCTGCTTAAAGAGATCAACCATGATGCTGCAGGCCCTTCTCACTCCATCCAACCGTCTCCCTTCATCGACCCCGAGTAAACAACACTACCTATTTCATTTCAATTTCAACACACACACACACACACACACATCAAGTAATGACTAATTGTTAAGATCAAAAGATTATCGCTACGCCAAAAGCTATAGTGGGTGCTAGACTTGGCCCTTCAGGTCTCTGCCCGACAGTCTCTTAGCCATCTGGTGCTAGACTTGGCCCTTCAGGTCTCTGCCCAACAGTCTCTTAGCCATCTGGTGCTAGACTTGGCTATTCAGGCCTCGGCCCAACACTAATCTTGACATGAACATGAATGTGGTAGGGTGAACCAAAGTGGTGTATTCTCTGAGGCAAGCGACATTTATGGCTTCGGGGTGTTCCTCTGGGAGCTGATAACAGGAAGAGAGGCTGCACATATTCGCGGTTTGGGATCAAACCAAACCATGCTTCAATGGGTATATATATGCAAAAACACTCTCACTCTATCTCCATAACCATGCAAAACAGTGCTTAAACTCGATCTAAAGCTTTTGATGATTGCAAATTAAAGGTGGAAGCACATTTAAGTTCAGATGATTTAGTGGAGCATAGGCTGATGGGGAAGTACAGTGCAGAGGGAATGAGAGACTTGATAAGGCTAGCAATGAGATGCACAAGTTTTCCTGGGAAAGAAAGGCCCAATATGGACATGGTAGCAGTTGAAGCTGAGAGAATTCTGGAGAAAGAGATCATGGGCTCTACTGCCATGGGAGAAGCTTCTGCAACTCTCACTCTGGGAAGTCAGCTATTCACCAACTAAGATAACCAACCAAATATTATTGTAGCTTAATTAGATATGGCAGAGATTTGGAAGCAGTGTTTGATTTGATGTAATTAATAGCAATATTATTTGTGGTTTAATTTACAATTCATGTATGAATAGTGTATATGTGTTATCTATTATGGTTCACAATTCAACGAAGGTATCAGTAACTGTGTTCGACGGTGGATACTTTGGGTTATCTCTGAAAAAAATTGTGAAGTGAATTGGAGAGATCTGTCAACTTTTTTGTAAACTTCGAAAACGTATTAAGATTCGATAAAGTCTGCAGTCATAAATTTTTATTCCATACAATCTATCCAAAAAATGGTGTCCTAACTAAGATGTGAACGACTATATTCGCAGACCGTTTAGCATTTAAAAGCAAATAATAGGTTTTTGAGTTGGGTGATTCAAAAAGGTGAATTTGAGAATAATATGAAAAGGTTGATCCTGACACTTGAACCATGAATGATTTAACAATCACTATTTTATTGGTATTTTGGTTTTAAATTTGAAGTAGGTATGTAGTATAATAAACTATATAGTAATGTGAAAAAAGGGGCCCGGTCCTTTGGAATCTCCATCAGTTTCAAATCTTGAATACTGTGCATGTGTGAAGGAGCCATAGATTTTCTAGAAGAGGTGTCTCCAGACATGAAACCCAGTCTTAGTATTCTATTCAAAACTTGTGGGGTTTAATTTAATTAAAAAAGAGTTGACCATTTTGATTAGATTAATATTGTCGGTCATCCCATATTGTTCTCAAGACCGGACCAGTCACGCATGTGATTAAAGGTTTGATTAATCAAAGGGAAAAGAGCTAAAAAGGTGTGTGTTGGAAGTTGAAATTTTATACTTGTTGCCCCCACCAAGCTTGGTTTATTATTAGAATATTAAGTTTGATCCATGTTGCTTTCCATGTGTAATGTGTTCATCAAGCTTTTGTTTCTGCACTTCTTTATTAATGTCTTTTGTGGTCACTTTTCGACATCTGCATGCCATATATATATATATATATATGTTCCCGTGCGGTTGGCCTTTGATTTCTTAGGTGTGTAGTGTTCCTTCTTAAGGTGTGTGGTTTGTGTGCTTAAAATGCGTCAGTATTGAAACTTAAGGTGCGTCAACTAAAGCTTTAGATGCATGGTTTTCCTTCCTAATGTGCATGATTTGTATGTTTAAGATAGTTGTTGAAACTTAAGGTGCCCCATTTTAAACTTTTAGGTGAGTGGTTTGTGTTCTTAAGGTGCCTTGTTTGTGTGCTTAAGTTGTGTGGTTTGTGTACTTAAAGTGTACCATTTTAAAACTTTAGGTGCGTATTTTGTGTTCTTAAGGTGCTTTTTTTGTGTGCTTAAGGTGCGTGATTTATGTACTTAAGTGCATTATTTTAATGCTTAAGGTGTGTCAACCACACATAAGCACACGAAAAGCTATACCCGCATCTGAACCAATCTTAACCTACGAACTTGTGAAGAATTGCACTGCACCCGAATACGATTGCACCGCAAGGTCCTCCTACATGATTGCACCACACCCAAATACAATCGCACCGTAAGGTCCTCCCGCAATGTCTGTTAGCCATAGCAGTGCAATCATGTAATAATTACGATGCAATCCTTCACAAGTTCGCAAGTTAAATTTGATTTTCACTTGATTATATATATATATATATATATATATATATATATATATATATATATATATATATATATATATATATATATACTGATTCAAATGCAGATCCCTTGCAGGTTCACCATTAGGTATACAAAAATGCACCACCCAGGGCGTACACAAAACAATTTCCTAACAATTCCTATGGGAAATTGTGCTGATGACATTATTATATGTGTATATAAAGCAAATGCAGACTCACAAAGACCACCAATGCTACAGCCAAAAGTAAAGAAAACCCTAAAGCAACATGTTCTCACTAAATAATGAGTGGTAGTAATAAGGTGAGATGGATGAAATCAAAATGCATTTTGCATACAAAACTAAGGTTTTCCCATAAGATGTGTGTATATAGTGATAAAATTTATGAAGTCAAAGCAAATTATATATCACAACACAACACAAGTATAGATCTTGTCCAATAAAGAAGGCAGCATTACATTGCCTTGCTTGTAGTTCTCAGAATCATTCTTTTTGTTTTTTTGCACAACAAAGCCCCAGACAAAAAGGGTGGAAGAACAAGGAGAACTTGAAACTCACTCAGTCAAATTGGAAGCCCGTTCTGAATGGCGAGATGGATTAAACCGGAGGCATGAATCTTGAATCTTGAATCTTGTCTTGAGTTGAGACCACAAGGTTTTTGTTCCAAAAAGAAGACTACAACATAAATAAACAAGAAGCTCCAAAAATTGAGCATGGGTGCAAATTCTCCTAGTTCAGAAGGCGGGTTTGTTTCTTGTTATTCAGAAGCTAGCTACACGTCTATACCGAGGATTGTGGGATCTTTGAAGAATGGATATTTTACTTATTCAAAATGGAAAACGGGGTTGCCATGTAATGAGGTTCTATGAACATAGAGATGATGAACAGAGCTACGGGGTGTGCTACGTCTGAGGGGATGAAAACTGTGGATGACCAAGACAAGGTTCCTAAAGGTAGACGACTAGCACCAAAAATATAATAACGCTACTCCATGGTCATGGTCGTTGAGCGATGAAAAAACATGACCACTTAATCTTTTTAGCTTGATGTGGAAACCTCACCTCCATGTCCATGACCCGTACTACTGCCTCCACTCGATGAAAAACTCTGTTGTCCAGACTGCTGAGTACCAGAATGGGCGGGGGGACCAGTCTTCGAATATGTCCGGGTGTTGGATCCAGAAATAAGGTCAGGCCTCAAACCCGAGGATGGCAGAGCCAAATTACCAATGGCAGATCCAACAGGGTAGGGAGCAGTAGGTATATCAGCAAGTGAAGATGCGGATGGGCTATAACTGATCGTTCCCATTGGATGGTCAAACTTGCACGAAGGTCCAAAATTGCAGACACCATTTACTGAATAGTGAGAGCAAATCGGTGCACCCTGAAGGCAATCAACAAGTACAAGCAATTAAATCATCGAGCATATTCAACAAGCAAGCAAGAGAAGACGTAAGCTTATTAAGATTTTCTATAATAGCAAGAGAATGTCATTTAACCAATGTTAGACCAAGTATATGAGTGGCGTTCAAGTCACGAATATAAAAGAGAGAGAGTGTCTATAAAAATGACAGAAGCACAAAGTAAACATGACATAAAGGTAATTTTGTAACCTATGTTATGTGGTATGGAAGCATTTCTTTCACGTTCTTCACATTGCACACATTGCCTGATTTAATGTTTAAGCTCATACAAATACCAACCAAATGAAAACTAGTTGAATAATAATTAAAATTTCCTTTTATGTTTCTTTACCTTCTCAAATTTACAAAGTGTAGAGCAACTTAATAAATTAAATACATAGATTACTAAAATAACCTGTAAATAAGGAATAAAAAAATAGGTCAAATATTCTTAGCATTGAAATTTAGAAAGAGAACAACGTATGTAACACCATAAAATAATAAACTTTTAAATGGGAAGAAAATTTATGAGTAAAAGATAAAGAAAGAATTATACAAACACAAAAGAGGCTAACGATACTTTTCGCAGTGAAGATAGTTAAAATTCCAATTGCACATACAAAAATGCTCTTACCACTCTGAACATAGTTAGACACTTATACTGAGCCTTACCGGGCGTAGTGGAAGGCCCATTGGGCCAAGTAAAAGATTTGTTTTTGGTCCACTCCAATCTGGAGGGTGATGGTATCTGCATGAAGATCCAAATTTACAATCCCCCGTTTTCATGTAATGTTGGCATTCAGGTTCACCAGGTCTTTGGGGATATGCATGCTCTTTCTGGCTACCTGCTGAAGGAGTGACAGAAGATGCAACAGATACATATGTTCCTGAATAGGCTGGCGCTGAAGAAGATAATTGTGTAAAGCCGTAAACCGATCCAGCTCCAGAAGTGGTTTGAGTATTAGGAGAGGCAACTGGACTAAGGGGTGCCTGTAGGAAAAATTCAATTACAACACAAAGATTACATCATTTCAAGCAAATTCTAAACTAATAGTAACATAGTAAAATTTCAAAATATCTACCGGGTAAGGAGTCCAACTCCCTGGAACTGGAACCAGTCCAGGGGGAAGCAGCATAGGACTATAAGTTCCAGGGATGTATGAACCTGGAAACAGAACTGGCCTGGGGACTGACCAGTTTCCAGGCATTATCCCATACTGTTGAGATGATTGAACAGGAGACTGCATAATAGGATAAATAGCCGGTGGAGGAACAGCTGTTGGTGCAGGCAAAGGTCCAGGCCCAGGATTTGGTGCTGGAACTTGTATGCCAGCTGGCTGTGGATGATGGAATTTACAGGTGATCCCAAATTTGCACTGCCCTGTTTTTACATAGTATGAACATTCCTTTTCACCCTGATAAAAAAAAAAAAATTATGAGCCAAACGCAGAAGCATAGTTGAAAAGTAGCACCAGAACAACAATCAGATTTACAACAAAACGGAAGGTTTGAAGAATAGAAAGCAAAAAAAATGCGAACCGGACGTAATGGGCATCCATAAATATTCAGAGCTACTGGAGCAGGAGATCCACCTCCCTGTCTTGGATGGTGATACTTGCAAGAAGCACCAAATTTACACATTCCCGTCCTCATATAGTACTACAAGTTAAGAACAGAGAAAACTATAAACCAGCCAGAAATGGTATAATTGGCTTTCGTATCATATATATATATAAGTACCTCCCCCATAACAAGAAACTGTTGAATGGGCTCTGTTTTACAGAATCGATACTCAACAGATACCATACAGAAGTCATGTGAATATAGAAAAACTGAACAAGTTCTTTTAAGGCAATATAAGACCTTATGATTTGAGAACAATACAATACAATAAGATGAACAAACTTGGACCAACCAGATTAGAATTCCTATATCAACTTGGAAGATGATATAGACTTTCTATATCAACAACACAGCAGAAACTAGGAAATGCCACATTCATCAAGAACAACATCTTCACATTCTATAAAGAAACTCATCTCAAGTATTTAAGGAAATAGAAACTCATCTCAAGCATTTAAGGAAAGGAATTAAACC